TTCCTGCGCCTTACCAGAGGGCTCTGGAGTAGCTCACGGTGGTTTGCTGCCCTCTGTGATTAACAGGAGTTACTTTTTTAACAGGTTAATTTTGCCCTGTGTTACTTGCAGGAGTTAAAACTCACTAATCGACAGCCCTAATTTTAATCAATTTAAATTATCATAGTTACAAAAAATTATGATTGAATAATAGGCAGTGCCAGACAATTTTTTTCTTAATGGCAGTGGGATACAAGATGTCAATGCTTTGTAACTATTACAATACAAATTGTGAAAATCATATGTCAAAATATATAATATACATATTTTCTAGTAATTTCTAAAACAGCATTTTTCTTACTTCACAATCTTGAAAATGCTGATTACATTTGGAAGAAACGTTTTCCTGAATTTGTGTGAGGATGATGAAACTGACATTTACTAGTAAAAATAGTGTCCTTCCAACCCTAAAGACAAGGTACCTGGCTACAGATATTTGGGAGAGGCACTCTCTATCATGAGAGCCAAGTCACACTCAAAACCAGGAAATTGATACATATTCTAAGTACAGTAAGATCTATCATGCGGGTCTGATTTAAAACAAACAACAAATAAACAAAACAAAAAACCCTGGGACTAGCTATTAAGCTCATTTGGGATTGTTCCTGCTTTAAGCAGGGGTTGGACTTGATGACATTCTAAGATCTCTTTCGATCCTATGATTCTATGACTGTATGATAAACTTAAGGTAAATATTTACAGTGTAATCTGATAGAATAGTTAGTAACAAAAAAGTAAGTGCCTGTAGTTCCCTGAATATCTGATCACAAGTTTCTTTTATGCCCGAAGAGATGTATTCTCTCTTATTCTCTACAAAGGTGCAAAGACACCAGTACTGGTGAGAAGAGAAGAACCCATCGGCTATGTCTACACTGGCATGATTTTCTGAAAATTCTTTTAACAGAAAACTTTTCCGTTAAAAGCATTTTCGGAAAAGCACATCTAGATTGGCAGGATGCTTTTCCGCAAAAGCACTTTTTGTGGAAAAGCGTCCGTGGCCAAACTAGATGATGTTTTCCGCAAAAAAGCCCTGATCATAATTTTCGCGATCGGGGCTTTTTTGCGGAAAACACTACTGTGCTGTTTACACTGGCCCTTTTGCGCAAAAGTCTTTCGGAAAAAGACTTTTGCCCGAACGGGAGCAGCATAGTATTTCCAGAAAAGCACTGATGATCTTACATAAGATCGTCAGTGCTTTTGTGGAAATTCAAGCGGCCAGTGTAGACAGCTGGCAAGTTTTTCCGCAAAAGCAGATGATTTTGCAGAAAAACTTGCCAGTCTAGACACAGCCATCTTGTTTAGATACAAAACCATTATACCTAGAATAACCTCTACATTGTAGTGACAGTAACATGTTCAATTTCTCCATAGGTTTCTTATTCTGTTTATTGCCCTTTATTTATGTGACTGTTGAACATATTTTTGGAAAAAGAAAAAGTAAGTTAATTTATATTTGTTTATCATTTTTTTAAGTTTACTTAATGTATAAAGGTCTAACAGTGAAGGTAATTACTATTGGAAAAATTTACATGTCCAAGGGAGGCAGGGAAATTACCTTTAACCCTCTGTGATGGCAGAGAATTAACATCTGATCTCCCAGTTTGGCTTCTGGAGCCTCCAGGAGATTGAATCCAATCCTGGAAGGCTCCGGGTGAAACCAGCAGGGTGGGTAACCTGCTTACAGAATGTGGCAACTCTGGGCTAGCAGCCAGAGTAGTGGTACATGTTGTTACTGATTTTCTCTTATGAAGTTGAAAGATGACCTTAACCTGAATGGATGGGGAGTTTTTCCCAGAAAACTCTAGATACTGGGAGTTGCCTGGAAGAGAGAAAGGACCAAGCTGTGGGAAATTGTTTCCAAGAGCCCCAAGATTTTACTTTTCAGTCATTTGACTTTGCCCCAGTGGTGTAATTATGGTCGGATCTGAATGTGGCATGATCCACACATGTAGCATCCAAGGCCACATAAATAGAGAAGTGAGCCCCCAAATTCATGCACTCTAACAACATTTCCAGCAGCATTTTTCCTACTTGGTAAACTTAAAAACATTAATTATTATTGGTAGAAATATTTATTTCCCTCAGTTTGTGTGAGGATAATGAAAACTGACAATAACTTAAATTTATCAGTAAAAATAGAGTCGTTCCAAGTCAGGAGACAAGCTACCTGGCTACAGACATTTGGGAGAGGCACTCTCCACCATGAGAGCTGAGTAGCCCACAAAGATATTGAGGAGATTGATTCATATTCTAAATACAATAAGACAGGTCATGAAGGTCTGTTTTTATTGGGTTTTTTAAAATGTTTACAGTGTAGCTAATAGAACAGTTAGCAACAGAAAAGTAAATACCTATAAGGGTATGTCTGGACTACATGCCGCTGCCGCTTCATTAAAATAAAAATGGCCACCATGTTATTCCAGCTCAGCTGATTGTTGGCACAAGGTGGCAGTCAAGAAGCGGATCAGTCAACAAGGGGAGCCTTTGTCGATCGATCCTATAAACCTCGTTTCACAAAGCATAAGGTATCAGTCGACAAAGGGGAGCCTTGTCGATCGATCCATGTCTTGACTGCCACGTTGTGCCGCCAATCAGCTGAGGCAGCACAGTGCGGCAGCCAATTTTATTTTAATGAAGTGGGACATATTTAAATCCCCGCTTCATTGACTGTGTTGGGGAGTCTAATTTACATTGACTATGTTGGGGAGCTGTCTACAGAGGTATATAGTCTAGACAGACCCTAAGGGTGTGTCCAGACTCAGGGTTTTTTTCGGGAAAAGTAGCCTTTTCCCGAAAAAACTTCCCCTGCATCCAGACTCAAGCCGCGTTCTTTCGAAATTATTTCGAAAGAACGCGGCTTTTCTTTCGATGGCGGTAAACCTCGTTTCACGAGGAAGAACGCCTTCCTTCGAAAGTTCCTCTTTCGAAGGAAGGCGTTCTTCAATGTAAAGAGGCCGTCTTCGAAAGAGAGCATCCAGACTCGCTGGGGGCTCTCTTTCGAAAAAGCGGATTTTTCTTTCGAAAGATCCGCCTGCAGTCTAGACGTGATCTTTCGAAAGATGCTCTTTCGAAAGATGCTTTCGAAAGATGCTCTTTCGAAAGAAGCCTGCAGTCTAGACATAGCCTCAGGGTATGTCTAGACTACAAGCCTCTTTCGAAAGAGGCTTTTTCCAAAGAATCTTTCGAAAAAGCCTTTTTCGAAAGAGAGCGTCTAGACTGCAACCTCTTCTTTTGAAAAAGTGAGCCGCTTTTTCGAAAGAGAGCACCCAGGCATTCAAGAACGCCTTTTTTCGAAAGAGCACTTTCGAAAAAAGGCGTTCTTCCTCGTGAAATGAGTACCTCAGTCGAAAGAAAAGCTGCGTTCTTTCGATTTAATTTCGAAAGAACGTGGCTGTAGTCTAGATGCAGGTGAAGTTTTTTCAAAAAAGGGCTACTTTTTTCAAAAAAAACCCTGCAGTCTAGACACAGCCTTACATTTTATTATTCACATCATTTGATCAGTTATGGATTGTGGAAATACTTTTAACGGAAAAACTTTTCTGTTAAAAGTATTTCCACAAAATCATGCCAGTCTAGACACAGCCTAAGTGTCTGAAGACAGGCCTCTGTTATTCCATCAGAAATGTATTCTCTTTCATTCTCTACAAAGGTGCTAAGACAACAATACTGGTGAGAATGAGAAGAAAAAAATCCATCCTGGTTTATATTCAAAACTGTAACACCTAGAATTACTTCCCCTATGATTGTGGCTACATTGTAGTGACAGACATGTTCTATTTTTCCATAGGTTTCTTCTTTTGTTTATTGTTCTTTATACCTGTGATCGCTGAAAATTTCTTTGGAGAAAGCAAATGTAAGTTAATTTTTTTTAAATTGACATAATGTTTAAATGTGTAATAGTGAAGGTAAAGAACCATTGGAACAATGTACATATCCATAGGAGGCAGGGAACTTAGAATGACTCTGATGACAGACAATGAATATGTGCTCTCCCAATTTGGCTTTGGAAGCCCCCAGCAGATGGACCCCAATTCTGGGAGATTCCTGAGGAAACTAGGAGTGAAGACAGATTTTTCACTGTAGGTGGGACTCCTGGACTAGGAGCCAGAGCAGTAGTGCATGTAGTTACTGATTTTCCCTTAGGAAGTTGAAAGGGGTGGGGAGTTTTCCCCAGAAAACTCTACAGACTAGAAGTCTCCTTGAAGAAAGAAAGGACCAAGCTGTGGGATATTGCTTCTAAGAGCCCAGGGACCAGTTCTCAGGAGGACACTGCATGCAGGCCTGGGACACAAGCTCACCTCAGCCAGTCCTGCTCTTGCTTGCCTTACCCCGACTCTTCCAAAATGGCTTCTCTCCCCTCCCTGGCTCCCAGAGAAGGTATCTCTCTTCCTATGGATCAGACTAGCTTGGGAGTGAGTAAATACCAGCTCATAGGCTGTGTCAGTCAGCCAGTGTTAGCCCTAGGAGGACCCCCACACTGCTGTATTTACCTATGCCTCCCCAAGCACGAGGGATCACAGCTCCCATTGACAGCAGAGAGCTGTTCCTGGCCAATAGGAGCTGCAATGGCCCAGACCTGTGGAGGTGCAGGTAAATACAGTAATTATTTGTTTAAAACATGCCTGCTTAACACGTTTTAGCAATAGCATGATTTTATTTTTAGGGAACATTTTTCGAATAACATGACAGTCCCTGAAATAACATGAAAATAATCAAGTGGCAGACTACTTCGGATGGCAGTATAAGTTGGTGAAAACAGTGGTAATACGCATGAGCAGATGTATACACGTGGTCACAGCGCTCCTCCGCTCCCTCACATGTTTATCTTTGTGTTTTAGCAAGCTGCGGCGACTTGTGTTGCTAGATATCTAATGTTGACGTTCACGACTGAACACCAACAAAAAACTGACTTTGCCACCACTATCTGAAACGCAACCCCCACATTTTCCATTATTTTTAATGGGAAAATTGACCTTGCATAGCATGTTTTCGCTTAGCACAAACATTTTCAGAAATGCATCTATAGTGTTAAATGAGAAATTACTGTATATCATGAGCTTTCATGGGTAAAACACTTACTGGTGCATCTTAAAGTAAATTAACTACCATATTTTATATAACAATTTCTCACAGAGTATTAAAATTTCATCTTAGTAGCCTATTATGAAATTGAGATAAAATAACTAGTACATAAAATCCACCATTACACAATTTCCCATATGAATTGGGGCGGGAGGGAGGGAAAGGCATTCATCTTAAATGCTCATGCTGGGTCCGGACCACTGCACCTCTGCTTCCCCTACCTCTTCCCACTGCGGAGACGGTTCTGGGAGGAACCGACTTTTAAGCTAGCTCATCCCAGCACCAGCTCCTGCTTCCCCCTACGGTTGCTGCCTCTGATATAGAGGTGGGGGGAGGGGAAACACAAATAGTCCACTGATCGACTCTTTGACATCCCTAATTGTAAATTCCTCAACATAGTGACTATTCTATGTCTGTATGGTGCCTTGTGCCAGTCAAACCTAGCTGGGACATGCAAGAACTCAAGAATATAAATAAATAAAAAACTAACAAGAGATACAGAACACTAGTTATTGACTAAAAGAGCCAAAGATTGCTGACCACGGTCTTAGCCACTCTTTTTCCTAGATTATTAAGCACCTTAGCAAGCAGCTGTTGTGTTAAATGTGAAAGTGGGCAGCGGTCAGAGTTAAGGTTAACTACTGCATGGGCACATTCTGTGCTCAGGAAAAACACCAACCATCAGCTGTGTGGGAGAAGGTTACAGGAGGCTCTAATTTCCTTGGCTAGCATCAGCTCTCCTCCAGACCGACCAGGGAGCAACAGCCTCGCCTAGGGTCGCCAGCTGTGGCTGCATGAATTCCTGGAGGTTTCCTCCCCCACACACACTTTTCCATTATTTTTAATGGGAAAATTAACCACGCATAGCATGTTTTCGCTTATCATGAATATGTTCAGAAACACATCTAGTGTGAAATGAGGAATTACTATATACCAGCAGCAACCCACCAGGGCCTCACCCTGAGGAAACACCCTGTTTTATTTCCCACTACTGGGCTAACTCTTAATCCCAAGCTTTTACTTGTCAGTTATTTGACTCTGCCCCAGTGGTGTAGTTACACTTGGCTCTGAGTGTGCTGTAGCTCAGCTACACAGCATCCAAGACCACATAAATCAGGCGCTGGGCCCCCTAAATGCATATGCTCAGTGTCGGACCCCGGCTGGGTGTCCCTCAGCCTGGTCATATGACTCTTCTGCCAGCATCATGCACAGCTGCCCCGGGCTTCTGCCCCAGTGCTAACCCTGTGGGGAGGGGGTACCTCATGTGGCAAGGTGTGTGTGGGGCTAGTGCTGGGGTGGGAAACTGGGTGGGTGGAGTTCATCCCCCAGTGGGCCCCCCTCTAACTCATGGGTGACTCTGTAGCCTGTGTGCCCTGGATTCATGCTGAAGATGGGGGTGGGAGGACATGAGTTTCCCAGTTCTCCTGCTCCTGCTTATCAGGGCACCAGATCCCACCTGCATCTCCAGCCCCCTTCCTACCACTCACCCTAAGGCACCAGACACCATGTCCCCATCCTGACCCTCTCACTAGAGCACTGGATCCTCCCATCCCCTCACAATGGAACTGGCTTCCTCCTGAACCTCTATTCTAATAACTTCTCAAGCAGCATTTTCCTTACTTGGACAATTGGAAACAGTTGATTATTATTGTTAAAAATAATGTTTTCTTTAGTTTGTGTGAGGATAATGAAACTGACCTTTAGTGATATTTGCCAATAAAAATGGAATCCTCCCAAGCTACCTGGCTACAGACATTTGGGAAAGGCACTCTCGGTCACGAGAGAAACAAAACCAGGAGAATGATCCTTATTCCACATACAGTAAAAGACTGATCATGCAGGTCTGTGTGGAGGGGAAAAAACCCTTCTGGGATTGGCTCTTTAGCCAATTTATAATGTTAATGTAAATGTTCACAGTCTAGTTTATTAGAGCAATTAGCAACAGAAAAGTAAGTACCTGTAATTCCTTGAGGATACAGCTACACTGAGCAGCTATTTTGGGATGCTGGAGACACCCTGAAATAGCTACACCGTGTCTACATAAGCCACCCATTATTTTGAAATATTTTTTGAACTAATGGGCATTCTATTTCACCATCCCAGTAATCTTTGTTGCAGGAGGGTTAAGGGATGGCTCAAAGTAGTGCATTATTTTGAAATTTGATGCTGTGTAGATGCAAGTGAAGGAAAAAAGTTCAAAACCATAGATCCAAAACCATAACACCTAAAAATACCTCCCATGCTTGGGGCTACATTACAGTGACTGTGACATGTTCCATTTTTCTACAGATTTCTTATTGCCCATTATTCCTTTGACCACTGAATATGTTTTTGGAATAAGCCAAAGTAAGTTAATTTATTATGGTTTAGTTTAGTTTACATACAGTGTAAATGTCTAACAGTGATGGTAACTAACCATTGGAACAATGTACATGTCCAGCGGAGGCAGGGAACTTACCTTGCACCCTCTGATCTCCCAGATTGGATTCAGGAGCCTCCAGGAGTTTGAGCCCAAACCTGGGGGGCTCCTGGTAGAACCAAGAGGATTGCTAATCTGCTCACAGCATGTGGCAGTTCTGGGCTAGCATCCAGAGCAGTGGTACATGTAATTACTGATTTTCCCTTAGGAAATTGAAAGGCGACCTTAACCTGATGGGGTGGGGAGTTTATCCAAGAAAACTCTAGAGACTGGGAGTTGCCTGGAAGAGAGAAAGGACCTAGCTGTGGAATATTGTTTCCAAGAGCACAGAGACCAGTTCTCTGTGGGACACTGCATGCAGGCCTGGGACACAAGCTCACTGCATCCAGTCCTGGCCTTACTGTGGCTCACACCAGAATCTTCCAAAATGGCTTCTACTCTCTCTGTGGCTCCCAGGGTAGCATCTCAAGTACTAGAGAGAATGGGAAAAAATCCTTCCTTATTTAGGACCAAAACTGTAAAACCTCGAGAAACACCTCTCGGCTGTGTGTACATTGACACCCCTTTCCGGAAAAGGGATGCTTATGTAGACTTCGGAATTGCAAATTCCACAGGGGATTTAAATATCCCCCGCGGAATTTGCATTTACATGGCTGCCACTTTTTTCCGGCTTCGGGATAAGCCGGAGAAAAGTGCCAGTCTAGACGCGATTCTCCGGAAAATAAGCCCTTTTCCGGAGGATTTCTTGAAAGTAGGAATAAGAAATCCTCCGGAAAAGGGCTTATTTTCCGGAGAATCGCGTCTAGACTGGCACTTTTCTCCGGCTTATCCCGAAGCCGGAAAAAAGTGGCAGCCATGTAAATGCAAATTCCGCGGGGGATATTTAAATCCCCTGTGGAATTTGCAATTTCGAAGTCTACATAAGC